GGATTATGGGAAACAGGAACAGGAACACTACTATGTGAAGGATGTGGCCTCCTAGCTTTAGAGATACTCATTGATTCTTTAGAGATTCTCATTGATGCTTTAGAGATACTCATTGATTCTTTAGAGATTCTCATTGATTCTTTAGAGATACTCATTGATTCTTTAGAGATTCTCATTGATTCTTTAGAGATACTCATTGATTCTTTAGAGATACTCATTGATTCTTTAGAGATTCTCATTGATTCTTTAGAGATTCTTGAGATCCTTCAGTCAGTCTTATGCAGCAGGTTTCCGGGGCTGTTCCCAGTTCTGTAAGTCTTCTTTTGTAGCCATTATTTCGTCTTGATTGGCCGACGAGGAGCAGCTTTCCACATTCGGCAGTGCGTCAGGTCTGGTCTCCTCCGTGGATTCCTGCCCCGGAGCAGCTGCATGTGCCGCCCGTCCCATGTGGCCCGTCCCATGTGGCCCGTCCCATGCCGCCCGTCCCATGCCGCCCGTCCCATGCCGCCCATCCCATGTCACCCGTCCCATGCCGCCCGTCCCATGCCGCCCGTCCCATATCGTGGAGCCGCGCGCCGGTTAGTGGAGCGACGAGACCTTCCCGCTAGCAGCTCATGACTCACCGTCTCCTGACCTCCAGGTGGAGCCGCTCATCTCTTCCTCCATTGGAGGAACGGCTCTGCTCTCCTTCCCGCCAAGAGTGGTCCCCAGTGATGGAGAACGGAGCGGTTCAGGTTGGATCTAAAACCGGGTCGCAGGAGTGCCTGGGGAACAGGCATGGACTGTTTACTTCATTTTCCCTCAACTGGTTTCAAGATGATGGTCATTGAACTCACACAGAAAATGCTTTTACTGGCAACATTCATAATATGTCAAGAATGTGGCGAGAAACGTAGAGTTTTTGTTTTATTCCGTTTTGTATTTGGTGCCTTACTGGCCTCCCGCCGGTGCTGTAGCACAGTCTTGTGCTCCCATGTCCTGGACAAAGTGACTGGAAGTCGGATAGATGGATGGATTCTCCAGCATATTTCTGGTTCTATCTTTTAATTGTATCACGCACACATGGCAATAAACTACCTTTATCCTTGAACCCTGCGGTGGAGAAGCCATAGCAAGGACTGTATAGGAGATATTACTTGTTATCGAAATGCACTCAGCATCAACACGAATATTAGTCATGAATTACAACTTAATATTAGCTAAAATAAATTAAACAAAGCTGGAAGGTAGAGAGCTGGAGGCGGGGGGAGGGGGGGTATGTTTGTTAGAACACTGGTAGACAGCAAATCAGTCCCCCACACTGCCCCACGAAACATACAAGGTCCACCCCCCATACCCAAATCTACGCCCTTACCTGCCGGTGCCTGACCAATCTATTTCTAAGAAGGCATAGTTAATTCAGATTCATCGCTGGATTATATTATAATTAGTACTGACAGCTCGAATTTTGTGAACAAATGTGTAATGATCCATTTTCTACAAAAAAAAAAGACAGATGGAGGAAATGGTGAAAACATTAACGCATATTAATTTGTTGCTATCCTTGTCTGAATATTTCATTTTCAAAACCTATTAAAAAAAAAAGGTGAACTGGCATCCCATCCATGGTGTACCCCTGCCTGGTGCCCTATGTCGGCTTGGATATGCTCTGACTGTATACCAGGGGTGGCCAATCTTATCCAGAAAGGATCACAGTATTATCGCTGCAACTCCCTAATTAGTTTACTAATTAAAGCACTGATTGCCTGAAGAGTTTTCACCTCTGAGTTTGAACAGCTGACATAAAGGTTATCCCATAAACCCACACACACACTGGCCCTTTGCCGATAAGATTGGCAAAGGCGGATAAATTAATTATTATATGTTGACTGCTTAACTGCCTCTAATAACTTCTGCTTAATTTTAGCATGAACTCATCAAGTGGTTTGTTCCTGTCCAACTTTCACTGGACGTGCGATATAGTAAATCGCGGCGGTATTAATACACTTCATCCAAAAATAGCGCGCCAACAACACAGCGCGCGTCCCCGTTCGAGCGTCCCCTTTCATCCCCACCTTCGTCCGTTCCGGCCCTGATGAGTCCGCGCGTTCACGCCCTCATTCGTTCACGCGCTCATTTCGCTACACCTCCCGCCCGCCGCGCTTTGATGTGCGGAGAGGGAGGGGGCGGACCGGGCCAGCACTCCAGCTGGGCACGAGCTTCTCGGGCAGGATGTACGAAAATACCCGTGCCCACGGTTATAAACATAAATGGTAAATTTAGAACCGAAAGGGTGAAAATAAAAATAAATTAATTAAAGACGAGGCTATTAGATGTGTAATTGGTGAGGGGTGGCCGTCCAGTGCGTGGAAGGTACAGGTGCATGTAAATCAGTTTGTTTAGGGCAGGGGGGTGGGGGGCTGTTTTCCAAACCTCCACCAGAATCTGATGCAAGATATGTATCAAAATCGTCTCAAGAGACATAAAATTTAGGTCGTTGCAAAATACAGTAGTCTTGTTTACCCGTTAATTGTGTTACATAATTAATTACTATATCTCAAAGAAGTGCTTGATCTTCTTAAGAAGTTGCCCCATTCCTATCCATACCTACACCTATGCACCAACCCTACCCTACCCGTCCTCACCGCCCCCAACGCGTGCCATCAGATCAGCGCCCCCTCAACTGGAAAGTACATGCACAGCACTTTCACCCCGCCCACTCCTCTCTCCCCAGGCCCGCTGTGCCACTGCAGTGAGGTCATTCCCTGTCCAGCCGCCAACGGGAAATGCCCGACGCTCCGGCAGCATCTTCTGAGCAGCACAAACAGCCACCATTACTGTCAATAAGGAGGGGACCTTTGCCGATGTGTGTCCCGCTATCATGGGCCAAAATCGGGAGCGGCTGGCTGACGTCACGCCCGCCCCTACGAGCGGAAAGGCAGGGAGAGCCTTCCAGAAAAAGTTGGTTTTAGGCAGGTTTTCACACAGCTTAGCTGGTGTGAATGAATCACCTGATAAAGTAATAGATATAGAAAGACAGAATAAAATCAGTAGCTGTATTACAGAAGGGGGCAAAGTATCCATCCAACCATCCATCCATCATCGATCCCTCCATTCATCCATCCTGCCATCAATCCCTCTTTCCCTCACCCACCCACCCATCCATCCAGCCAGCCATCAATGCAGGAGTCTCCAACTCCGGTCCTGGAGAGCTACTTTCCAGTAGGTTTTCTGTCCCACTTGGTTTCTGATGAGCCACACCTGCTCCTGGTATTTACCTGAGAACAGGTGTGGCTCATCAGAAGCTGGGTATGATAGAAAACCTACGGGACGGTAGCTCTCCAGGACCGGAGTTGGAGATCCCTGCATCAATCCCTCCATCCATTCATCATCCTTTCTTCCACCAATCCCTCCACCCCCCCCCACCCATCCAGCCAGCCAACCATCAATCGCTCCATTCATCATCCATCCATCCATCCATACATCCATCCATCCCTTCTCCATAATTCCTGATCTGGGATTGCCTACCCCGGGCACGATCAGAGTCCAAAAAAATGCTAATGAGAATTCGATCAATTAATGTCATTGTGGGTTTGAGAAACATAGGTGTGTCACGTTCATGTTAATCAGTGGTGACGGTTGTAGATGGACTATTACCTTTTTTAGCTTGGTTTACAATGGGCTGTTTTATAGCCATGTGACCGGTCTGCGCCAATCATGTGTAGGTCTACTGATGTGATTTAGAAATAGCAGTTGTACTGTACCAATAGCTGCAGCAGCAGGTCTGCTAATGAGTGCTGGAGACCAGTTCAGCTGTCAGAAAACCTGTTTGAAGCCAATAGAAAACTTATGAAACTTGTGAAAAAGTAGCCTGGGGAAAGAGATGGAACTCACCGACAGAGGCCGATTAACGAACAGGAAGCAGTCTGGAAGTGCCGGTGTTATTAAAACCGTGATGTAACCTTCTTTGGAGTAGAGACCCTGGAGGAACTGGGATGGAGACTGGGATTGCCAGGAGGACAGTGATACACCTTAAGACATCAAGACCAGTTGGGAAAAGCAGGGGGACGTGGGGGGGCTGACTGCGGCTAACACAGGATCGGCGTTATTTATAAGATGTTGATCGGTGGGGGGCGATAGCGAGCTGTCCTCGAGTCTTTTATATGTTTTATATGGTCATTTTTCATTTAGCCACCTTGAGTATAAATATATCAATGTGTGAGAATTTGTGAGATGAGTCCGTCTTCCATAAGCACTTACTAGCCTGGAGACTATACCAGGAAAAGTTAGAAAGCTAGCCAATCCATTCTTGCGTCGGTTATATCTTACATCCTTTTCAAGATAAGTACAATACGACATGGTTTTGCTCGATAGGCGATGATAAAAGTGGCCGCAGTTCCACCCGTCCAGGGAAGACAGCCACTGGGTTCAGTAGTTAATTGGGTTAGAAAACCAGCCGCTAAATCTCTCCGCTGAGCTATTTTTAGCGCGGCGTTAATCTCGAACTCAGTGTGGGCCTGCACCCCAGTGGACACTCGGTGGTACTGCAAGGCAGACAGCCTCCATGCTGGTTATGTAAAACACCATAGTGAATGACTCATCAGGCATATACGCCCCCGTCTGCCCCCCCCCCCCCCAACGCGAAAGGATGAACAGAAGCTGGCTGCAGTGAGTAAGACAGTGAGTGAAATTGTTTTTTTTTTTTTTTCCTTATGCAATTTTTAGCTTAGGGACTGTCATCTGGCATGATCTACAATGACACAGACACGTACGCACGCACACGCACTGTCAAAAGCACAGCGTGCACTTTTTTATCGCGGTCGCAGGAGAACAGAGTGTCCCAATCTCTAAAGACGGAGGGCAGCAGGAAGGTTAGCGGTGAGAAGGTGGGTGGATGG